TGAGTGAGCAGTCATGAATAGAGTGTTCCAATTTGACAGAGGGGTGGAAGCGGTAGACGAGGGGAGGAGGGTACTCCGTTTTGGTGTTTTTGTGACGATGGTGATCTGCGTGGACTCGTTCCTTCCCTTTGAACGAAAAAAAAACCTCGCTTAATAGAACTCAAGCTTTGACCAGTATAACTCCCCCCCCCACGGAAGGGATAAGTATCCTCAAACCTTTTTAAAGTCCCATTTTGTTAATTAAGAGGCAAGGAAAGGAGTCTCGGAGCCCCCCCCAAAAAAGGTCGCAGGTAATTACCACCTTTTCACATTAGGTAGCGCCTTTTCACATATCTCCAAACAACAAAGTTATTAGCTTCTATTGTCCTTTTAATCTGGTTTTACGATCCATTGTTATGTTGTCTTCGTTCACTGCTGCCACGTTGGCTGTTCCCACAGAGCTATAATGGCCCCAGGCAATTGCGTGAGTACAAGTGTATTACTATAGCTCTTCATACTACCCAAGCTCTTTGGAATTCTACACCTTGAGTTCTTTTATTCGTGTAAAAAAGAAAAAGGTGTGCACTTAGAGCCAAATGTACTCTCAGGCAAATATTGCAAATTATGGCCAGTTTGACAAAAAGTTACTTAACCCTTGAAAGGTCAATGTTTTCTTAGATACACATTTTGTGACACTTCCTAAACTCCTCTGTAATGTATACAAACTGACTTTAATGTCCCATTTAATAATCATTTTCAAGAAAGTACATCATTCATTTGTAATTTCCCATGCTTTTACAAATTAAGGATTGAAGGCGTTGTGAAATCATTCAGGGAGGACATTTTTCATAAAAAGGATTTTCTATTCAAACTGTGAACCCAAGATTTGCTCATTGTAAACATTTGTGAGATATTGTTACTCGTTGGCTTAATGCTGCATGTATTATGAATTATCAAAGGCAAGGAAACTTGTTGGACAAAACATTTAAACTTCTACACTTTTGTGCTGAAATAGCTGGACAGACTTCTGTTTAGAGTGATGTCACACCCTCACTCCTAAAAATGTGGAAATCTGCATAAGGCAGCAAGATATCATTTAAAATGGGAAAAACAAGAATTGAAAATAAGCTGATCAGAGGTGCAGGTTCTTGGACTGAAAAATAAACATAACATTGCTCAGCACTCCTTTTTTTTAGACTCGCAACATCACGTTCGGATTCCCCTACTCAGAACTAAATTAAATAGCTCCATACGTGATGGTTGTGAACATCGGCCCTATGCTAATAAATGTTTCGTATCACACCACAGGCATCTGCAGGTTTAACGAGCTTCTGAAAAAAGGGACTTGCACTTCATTTACTTCAATTTCAAGGCACAGCTGTCAGTGCACGATGTGGTATAATTATTTCACTGCAACGTTACATAGATCTCCAAAGAAAAATGTCAAAGGCGGCATTAGTCATCAGCTGACAATGTTGAATGCCTCGGGAGAAAAGGGATTTATATTTAACCCTTGGCAAAGAACTTCTCGGAATAAAAAGCCCAGAGACCTGTTTTCACAATGCAGTTGCCTTAAAAAAAATAGATATATATATATTATATATATTTAAGGATACCATAATGCACCCTCTCCAGAAAAACGGGAACGGATAATAGTAAATATGCTTCACAATACTGGAAAAAAATGGATTATTTCAGGGAGGTCCGTTGCAAAATTAATGGACCCCCCACTTTTTCCTGAGATACGCCTAATTGTGTCGTGTGGTCTATAAACTACACGGGATGTATTGGGTATTTGCACTGAAAAAGCTAGGCGCAAAATAAATGCATGAGAACTTTGAAAAAAATGAAGGCTGCATGCATCTAAACTCAGGCTGATGGGCTACTTTTTTCAACCTTTTTAATTCCGAATCTGCAGGCACCATCTATTGTTAGACCTTCTGCTTCATTTTTGTCTGTAAAACGACATGATGTGGCTTTGTTTCTGAATATTGCTGTACAGATAGGCGGACCATTTTCATAAGAAAAAAGGGCTCCGGCAGACACGCGAGACGTTTTGGAAGCGTCAACTTTTGCAGTGCGAGTTTAGAGGACCAAGAAATCTTCTCCAGATCGCGCGCGGCTAAACGAAGTCGAGTTCGCGTTGCCAACCGGAAAGGCGAGCAAGTTCGCGCCGTGAGATGATGACCATCTGCCGCCTGATTGATCGACAGTGTAGGGGAGACAGTAGAGACTTGAAATATTGCCGTCACCAACGCCAGTGAGCAAGGATACAAGGAGAACAATCTTCAGACTGAGAGCTGCGACTGTATGGACCTTTGAGGCTCAAGCGAATTTGTGGAAGAAACAGGGCCTTGCCTCTGATGGCGCTTTCCTCCGTGTCAGTTGAAAAAACGTACCTTTAAAAACTGTTTAGTTTCTCCACAAATTAAATATGCTTGTATTCCTTATAGAGGGATTTGGGCTTTGATGTGGGACGTGGGTTGAACCATCGAAATGGTAACAAAGAGGTTAGACAGAATGCTGGTCCTATATTGATCTGATGTTCGATGGATGGTGAGGGAGAATGTTTTGAGCTATTTTTTGTGGAATAACACCCTGTGGTTTAACTTGCGACTAATGTCATCAGTGAATTCACCTCTAATCCGTTCCCGTGCATGTAGGGGTGCTTGGATGGTCCACTTTGGCCTTTAAGGTTGCAGGCCAGTAAATAAGCCCATGGACGCCTGAACAGATGTCACGGACCCTCTTCGGTCCGTGATTATGTCAAATCGAGACCATTTTAAGATCGTGCGTGGACGTAATGGTTTGTAAGCAAGAAAAATGGAAGCGACATCTATCATCAGGACTACCAGCTTGTATTTCTGAAAGTATTGGACAAAACAGAACCCTCTAAATCGCTCTATCATTTGTGCGACGGCATCTTTTTTAAATGGGCCTCATGACTGTTGTGAGGGGTGATCACTCTTGAGAGAAATATTTTCAAAAGTCATCGGTTCAGCTACTATAATTGAAAGGAATTGAGATATGAGCTTTAATTTGATATGTGTCTTGAACACCTGAGAATTTGCATTTTTCCCGGAGTGAAGTGGGGGTTTTATCAATGATTTCTTTGGCAATTTTTATTTACCGGTCTGCAACCACAGCACCCCAACTGCCAGCCGTGTCCATGGTCACACCTCTTGTCCAGTAGAGCATGCTGATGGAGCGTGGTGGAGGGGCGGTGGTGACCGTCTCAGGACACTGAGTTCACAGTCATCAAACCAGACAACTCATCATCCCTTGCCGAAGCATACTACTGATTGATTTATTGATCTGACCACCTTTTTTTCTTAGCATCTCGGGGTAAACAAGAGGGAGTATAAAGTATAGGCCTATAGCACGGTGTACAAATAAGATTCGATTTAATTTGAGTTGTTCAGACTTTTAAAAAAATTGTTATACAGAGTGGAGAAATCCTAGATCTAAAATTTTAAAATGGTCTGCATTTTACAGAGATATCCAGTTACAGACGGACGTGTAAGGTGGCATGATTACACCAAAATCAAACATTTTAAATAGTTCTTCATTTTATTTTCACATTTATTTTTTGTTGAGAAAAAGACATTTTCTCAGTGAAATTGCACTACAACGACTACAGTGAAACTATCTCTACTAGACGGCTAGAACAGGGTGAAATCAAAGTCAGCCAATATGCAGTGGCGTAGGGAGGGGGAACAGCCCCCCCCCCAAATAAGTGAAGGAAAAAATTGCTGGCGATTTTACTGTGACAAAACACACCAAGTTCCCCCTAAAGAAAGGGAGGTTCTTCAACTGCCCGCAGCAAAAATGTAGGCCTTCCCCAATTAGGCCCTACGCCTCTGATCCCTCGAATTTGGTCGTTCAAAACTTTGAACAATGGAGGAATAATGTTCTTATTCCTCCATATTTGAACTCAGTAACCTAATTTGAACTTTATCGACAAAACAGTTTCAGTCACGAATTCTCCGTCTGGACAATTTGGAGTTAGGCCATATTAAGCTTTATTATCACTTCCAAAAGATTTTACGTTCCCCTTCACACGCAACATCAGACAAAACAGGTCCTGGGTTGTTTTTACTGGCTCAACGCCGACCACTCTCACGTTTGGGGACACATCTATCTGTCGTCACCAGAATTCCCGCCAAAACTTCCTTTGTTATTTAAGAGAGTCTAAATATAGGACTCTACATGGACACCAGGTCAAGCAGGTCCCGTGGTGTGCTCTGCATACGCCGTCCCACAGCAGTTGTGACGCTATTGTTCATTCAGAAAGAATTAGACCTTACAACTCGAGTTCATGGTTGAATGCAGGCCTTGTGCACATACATGTGCATGTAATACATTGAATTGTATGCCAAACGTTCAAATATAATTAACTCTTGGAACCCCCGTACATTTGTTACAATTACACTTCATCACAATGCATGATGCGCTACCAAAGTAAAGCCCAAGACGCTTATCATCTGTGTTGACGTTCTGATAATATTCCCTTGTTAATATCTTTAACAAGAAAAATATTTACAGCAGATAATTAAAAGGACCTGCACCTGCTAACTCATGTCTGTTTTTTCGACTACACTCTTTGAATTACAGCGTGGTACATGTAGTTATCGGTGATTATTTTAATTGTAAAGGAGAAAAACACCAGTGCAGAATTACATTGAATTTGGTTCGGACGTTCCATTATAACCTGCTGAGCCACGTGTAGCAGCTGTCTCCATGTGGCATGCGCAGCGTACCTCGTGGTCGTTTTTTCTGGTCCTTTGTGTCTCTAGCCCCATATCCCGCCGTTTGTGCGTCTCTAGCTCTATCTACTATACTGAACATCGCCTACACGTTGCCCTTGTTTCCCTTGTTCGGAAAATCATGCAAAGCGCGCGAAAATTGTATCTTGTGTTCTGTGGCCACGCCTATGGACCGCTACCCACCAATCACATTGACGAATAGCTCATTAGCATAGGCGTGACCCTCAGACACATGCTACACTCCGACTTGCGTGTAGTAGACGACGTCAGATCGTAGCTGAACAAAAATACGTTACAAAACTGGACCACGCACTTAGATTCCCGCGCCCGAGCAAAGCAGTGGTGACGTTCATCAAATTTTACGGACGCAAGAACACTGGACAGAACAACATATATTTTTGACACGTCCTTCCTAGGTTATCCCTGTCATGCCCAGCACGCTCTACCCAACCATGGACCAGTCGCATAACGACGGAGTGGGCCTGGAAAATCAAGAACAAACCCTTCAATTGGCGCTGAATTTGTCTAATTTGAACATACTGGGCCTGCCAAGTGTCCACAGCGAAGACGAAGGTTCTGCTTCGGCCAACGCGTACGACGAGAACGGTCGAAGGAGCAGCAATATGACGGAATGTGTCCCAGTTCCGAGCTCGGAACATGTCGCTGAAATAGTAGGAAGACAAGGTAAGCCAACGTGCAGTGAATTTGGACGTTTGTAGTGGACTACTTTGCGATGTCCTTTGTTTATCACGCTTACAACATCGTGTAGCTGTGGCACAGCGTAGCCATTTTCTATTCACAGAGTAGACCTGGGCCTGCTGTATTTTTGTGTGCGCAACGCACACGGCGTGCTTCGTGCACTAAACGAATGGGCCATTGTCTACCCATACTCTCTGCGCACATTCCTATCCTGTGATAAATTGCCATGACACATTAACATGAATAACAATCCACGTTGCTCGTGTAATACTCAAGTTTGCCTACCATTTCATCACCACGTTTGGCTTCAATATTTATTATTAGTTACTCTAGTCCTTTGATGTGAAATAGCTTGCTCGGCCACAGTTGGAATTTCTTTGTTGTGCCATGGTCCATTCCTTACTCTGCTGCGCGTTGTGCCGAGTTGTGCCGATAGCGATCGCGGGATCGCTATCGGACATGTCAAACTAGGCCTGTCTTTGTTTTGTTGCTTATTGAAGGCTGCAAATTTAGCTGATTGATTTTAAATGTGTCCCGTAAATATTTCTAGATTTTGAGACTGAATGGTCATTGTACTGGCCCCAGTGCTAATGTGCAAATTTTCAAAAACCTTTTGACAAACAAAAACTGGCATCTGTATTTTCAAGGAGGCAGTTGGGTAATATGTTCAGTGATATGTTGGCTTTAATTTGTGTCCATCTCCCCACACGAGCCACAAACCTAATCAGTTGGTGTGATGTGTCCTCCGGCTGCTTTGCTGACTATTGTACAGATACAGGAATGGTTGACCTATCTGGGTAAAAATTGCTTTTGTGTGACCGTTTTAATTTGGAAGGGGCAAGAATTCCAAGTATGGACATCACAGACTTTCTCTTGCAGGCCAGACCCGGTGCCATAGGTTCGTGTGCAGGGCGTCGAGTGATGTCCATGTATGGAACTCTTTCCCGGGAGGGTATGAAACATGAAATTTTCAGTTCAGAACAATATTTATCTGTTCCCGACTCGGAAAAAGAAATAAAAGTGAAGGAAACCTCCAGGAATAACAGGATCCTTCAAAACTTCTTTCAGGATAAAGGTTGTCGAAATCAAAGCCTCTGTTGATGTGGGTTGAAACTTATTTACTGCAGACGGTTGCTGGGTTCTTACTGGCAGTTCCTTTGGGACAGATTTTTACAGTTGAAAATGGAGTGAATTAATTTGCCACTTTAAAAGGCCACATATGAAGCAACGTTGGCTTGAAATACAGTAATAGAATTTGAGAAATTGGGCGTTGATGGTTTGGTTTGTGGAAAATGCAGCGACCTGGTGTGGGAAATCTAAAGATGCAGTGGTCAATTTTATCTTTGTTCATGTAAATGTGTCACCGGGGTCAACCCCCTTTTTTCTGAACTGCACCAAGAGCTGTATAAAAGCATAGTTGAAGAACAGCATGCATGGAAAATAATGCATTTCGAACTCGTGACACTAATAAAACATGTTCCAAGTGGTGTGTTCAATAAGGCCTTTACACACGAGATAAATCTCGGGGTTGACGCAGGGTTGAAGCTTGGTTGAAAATGGGTGGCGATTCACACTTGAAAACTTGCGTCAACCCCGAGATCAACTTCAACCCAGGTTGAATTCAACCCTGCTCCGGAGCAGGGTTGAGATTTTCAACCCGGGTTGAAAATTGTTAGTGCCCATTTTCGGGTTGAACTCGCCCTGATAGCCTAATTCACACGAAACAAGTGTGAAACGATGCTTGGTTGAATGCAGGGTTGAAAATCTAATTTTCAACCCAGGGCAGCCATGGGCTCGCCCAGGGTTGAGTTCAACCTGGGTGGAGAGGCTGCAGTGTGAAAAGGCCTCTAGTGTGGCCCAGTCCCTGTCTTGTAAGGTCATATCTGAGGCGCACATCACAACTCGGAGATCCTCCTTGTATTTGGTGAAGTCCCTTTAATCAAGGACAAAATCAGTCCCTTGAAAGCCAGAATGTCCCTCTATATGGGGAGAGTTTTTTTTTCCAGTGAGCATTGGTGAGCATTGCCCTGGGGATCCTTCTAAAGTAACGTGGCACAGAGTTCATAAAGCAACTTGAACAACTTTAATGTGAATGGAAAACATGGGAGAAAAATAAAAAAAGTAGCATGTGGATATTTTTGACCAAAGCCCACTTGGGAAAAAATGTCCCCTGTTTTAGAGAAACATTCTCTCTTTCAGGGGAACTGGTTTTGCCACCAAATAAAGGAACTTTTCTGAATGCAGGGACAGTCCTTGAGTTGTGATGTGCATCTCAAGTGTTTTTTTTTTTTAAAAGGATTAAAGCACTGCTCGTTTTGTCTCTTTTGTGGCTGATGTGCTGAGCATGCTGTCCGCGTTTTCCAATGAGGCATTTGTGACATTGCAACCCATTCTGTACCCTTCAGCTTTGATATGGTGGATGTTTGCTCTGAGCTCATCTTGTACCACCTGATCAGTTCACTGAGAATGTGGAACTGTCATTTGTGTCATTGCATTAGCGTAGAACAGAAATATTTTTCTTTCTATTGTTTAAAAGTTGGCTCCACTGAGGTTTGATCTGAGGTGCTTGTGCTTTTCTCATTTGAAGATCCACTTTTGGAAGTTAATTGTATTCTTCCCCTTCAAGGTTGCAAAATCAAGGCATTGAGAGCAAAGACAAACACCTACATCAAGACGCCAGTCCGGGGAGAGGAACCAGTTTTTGTCGTCACTGGTAGGAAGGAAGATGTTGCCGCTGCCAAGCGAGAGATCCTATCAGCCGCTGACCATTTCAGCCAGATCAGAGCACGGCGAAACAACCAAGTGCATGGGTCTGTTGCAAATGGCACATCAGGGGGAGTGAATGGATCGCTCACCGTCCCCAATCTCCCAGGACAAACCACCATTCACGTCAAAGTGCCGTACCGTGTTGTGGGCCTTGTGGTGGGACCGAAGGGCTCCACTGTCAAGAGAATTCAGCAGGCTACAAACACCTACATCATTACTCCGAGCCGTGACAATCAGCCTGTCTTCGTTGTCACTGGGACGCCGGAGAACGTGGAGCGAGCCAGAGAAGAGATAGAAGCCCACATTGCTCTGCGCACTGGCGGCCTGATTGATTCTTCGGCAGAGGAGAATGATTTTGCTTCCAATGGCACAGACACAGGGCTGTTCAGCAGCCGCAGTGACATGTCTGTGTTCAAGCCCCCACCTTCCACATCTGCTTCGATCAGCGCCCTCACCAACATCTTCAACCCAATGGTAGGTGGCAAGAATGACGTCTCTCGTGCCGGTGGCCCGGGCAGTGAGGGCAACTACTTCTTCCCCAGCACCAATGGAACCAGCAACGGCTCTGCAAAGCTGAATGAATTTAATCCCTTGCCGTCATTCCCGACCAATGGTTTTCTGTTCACCGATTGCCCATCCCCTGATCTTGGGATCGACTCGCCAGGGTTTGATCCCCCAGGGCTTCAGTCAGCCGGCACCCAGTCACTTTGGCAGGATCTGACCCGCTGTAGTTCCTCCCTGCTTGGCCTGAACCCTGTGACCACTCAGCACCAGGCCCCACGCCGCAGCAGCAGCGTAAGCACCTCTGTTCCCACATCTAGCGCGGATGCCAATGCCAATGAGCATCCACCTGCCAGGCGCATTCGCAGTGACCCCTTAGAGGGGGGCCTGTCAGCATTGCCCTCGTTTGTGCCGCTGTCCAGCGCCAACACATTTGCGTCAAGCAATTCTGCCGGCAGCCACGGCAGTTCTTGCAGCAGCCCCACTGATTCCTTGGGTTCCTCCTCTGCGGCTAAAAAGAGCAAAGAGTGCGTGATATGCTTCACCAACGAGGTAGTCGCGGCACTGGTGCCCTGTGGTCACAATATGTTCTGTATGGACTGTGCAAATCGCCTTGTGGAAACCACAGATGGCGAGTGTCCCGTTTGCCAAACAGTGGTCACCCAGGCAATTCGCATTTACACCTAAAGCATTGTACTATGTATCCGCATTATGGTAGTACTCGCCAGACTTGTTGCATTTCTTAATATAGATGTTGATGAAATTAAATGTTATTGGACTATCGATATAAAAAAGTTCATCGTTGCATATTGTATAGCAAAACAGATTATGGCATAACAAAATTTTATTCTTCAACTTTAAAGAAAGAGGTCTATTTCATACAAAGAATATCTACGGAATAAAGTTCTTATTTAATTTACAAGGGAAATCATCTGGGTTTTAACAGAGCTTTATGTAGCATGTATTTAATGCAAGAATAATTAATGAAAATACAGAGTATTTACTATTAACTGTATAGTTTTCATTTATTTCTTATGTGATTATCTCAAATGAATGTAACCCGTAACACTTTCAGTTGGGACAATTTGAAAATGAAATATATCAGATTTTTGTCTATACATTATATTTTACCCAGCCAGATGAACTGTTGGCCCACACCTAGACTTATTTTATTGTATACAAAAACCTAGGACCCTGTATCATATTGGTGCCCGGCTGAATGTCTCAAGTGAACTTTTTTTTTGGTCGTGTGTATGCACATCAAAAAAATATTTGTATAAATAGTTCAGAGAAGTGTCTTGTGATTTCGTTGCATGTGTAGTGAAAGTTATTTTTTAATATATTCCAACAGTTCTGTGTACCTGTATATGTAGGTGTGTTACTTGACCAAATATTCCATGTTCTAACGAAGTTAACTATCGTTAAGAAATGCAAAAGATTTTTTTATTTTTCCTGTTGGCCCTTTATCCTCATTCGGCCATGAACGTTACTAATGTTGTTATATTTGCTGAGACTTTGAAGAAATTATAATATTGTAAGAGTTTATTTTTTTGGTCATGAAAGAAAAAAAATTGACGTTTAATTAAGATGTTGAAATTTTCAGATTGTGTGCTGGTTTTTGTACTTTGGTAGTAATTCAACTGAATCGAAAAGCAATGTTCATATACAACTATTGCAGGTTGATTCCTAAAAAAAATAAAAAAAGAGAAGCACATTATTTTTGTAGCCCATTTATATTCATAGCGATCATTTTCACTGCATTTTATGTTGATAAGAACTCTATATTTTAGCATACCTCTGTCTGTGTGCAACTAAGACCACTCTAGATGTTGTTGTGTAAATGCAAAGCATTTGTTACTGCTGTTTGAAAAGCCAGTTGGTGGTCAACAACTGCTTTTGTAATGCTCTGGATTTTCTGCAATTTTTATTTTTTTAACTGGCTGCCAAAGTGAAACGAGTCGTAAGAGGAACTCAGAATGACCTGCAAGATTATTCCGAATTCAGGGATGGCCAGATCGCTGTTACCGAAATCCTTGGTGTGATGCGCTTATTGAATGTGAACTGTTCCTTTTTTTTCCCATCATATTTTTTTTTTTGATTCAAGTGCTGCAAGTGTGTTGGAAATGGAGCCGTGAGAGAGCGAGTTAAAACTCATTTCTGGCTTTTTTTTATTATGAAATGACAAGTAGAAATGCTTAATATATTTTGTTGGTGTAACCTGCGCCAATTGTAGTTGGAATGAGTACCATAACGCTCTTCAAATACAGTGTATTTCTTTGTTTTAATGGATGGATTAAAAATGTATGCTTTACAGCAGTACTCAAGTGTTGGCTCTTATCAGAAAATATGCCATGGTTCGTGTATTTAAATGCTTCAGTGTTGAGATTCCACAGTTTAACCATTCAGTGTTTTATGGCTTTCTTACTAACCGAAGAATTGTTTAACCACAAAAATAAACTTGTTGTTTGAGGTATATTTGTATTTTTAAAAGGAAGATGTATTAATGGTGCACATCCTTATCTCTAAATTGTACCTTCAGCGTTTCAAAAATTGTATTTTTGTCGCATGCAGACATGAGAGTTAAAAATGAAAAATTTCTAGTTTTTTCTGGCAGCTGTCCAGCTCTTCATGAAATAATAAAGATTACTTTGCACTATGCAAGAATTCCAAACCCACGCCTTTCTGGCAAGAGAGTAAAAATTATATATATTTACGATAAGACAAGACAGTACCATGACGCGTTAGATTAGTTACAATTTTTCTACCAAACAAAGACGCTTAGACGTAAACAGTTCAGAAGGTATGCCGTGAACAATCCAAAATAAACTTGAGACGAAAACAAAACCCCCCACAAGACCTACTTCCCTGTTTGTGATAATGTTTAAATCTAGCTTTCTCAGTATTCATTGTTCAGGTGTTTTTTAAAAACCAGTACTGACTGACTCCCAATCTTGTCTATTTCATCTGTAAGCATCAGGGCCTCAACTGGTAAAAAAAGAAAGTAATGTTAGGTCAATAAACAAATTATGAAATATTTTATTAACTTACGACAAAAGAGAAATGTGCACACTTCCAGTATGTCTTTGCACATTTCATTATAATTTTTTGTATTTTTGGTATTAATTGAATTTTTGAAAGTTTTTAAAGAAAGTGTTTTTTCAATTGCCTAAATTATTATATTCCAAAAATAAAGGTTATGTTAATGGAGCAATAAAGCAAGGTATTTGAGTTGCTGGTAGTGCAGTTTTTTCTATTTTCTATTTAAATTGGTTTCGGAAGTAGCTTATTCTGACAGTATGGTGTAAAAAGCCAACTTTGACAACTAACTAGTTTACATGTACAGTGTAGTTCAGAGATTACTTGGGCTTGCTAAGCAACAAGAAAATTAACATCAGTGTGTTAGGTAAGGTTACATGTTCTGTGTTGTGAGCTAACTTTTTTTTCCCCTTCGGTTGGTAGGAACCGCTGTCTAGATAAGTCAGGCTCCATTGTTTCTGATCAACCTATCTATAAGTGGAATATGTCAAATCTGTAATTTGCCAAGCTTTTGACATGGGCAAAGCGGCCCTTGCTCAGTTATTTTGATTGCAAGTAGTTAATGCCATCTAGCATTCACTGCCTGTGTGTGAAACAGCCAAAAAACCCTGCAGTCCATTGGACCTAGGAGAACACGGTAGGATGTTTGCCCCATATGAATTAGCCCTACCTGTACATGGCTTACTGCCGGGGTGGGTTTTGCATGCTAGATGGCATCTGTAGTGTTTTTTAACTATTAATAAATTGAAATCAGTATTCTTATAATGTATGCAATTTTATTCAGAAACCATTTATATTCATGTACATGTATTTTTGTTTCTGTACAATTTAAATGATTAAATGTTACTTATTTCTTATTTAACTGTTAATTGAAGGCATGCTTCATCGGATTGTGTTCTTTTGTTTTGTTCATTCTATTCGTGAGTCCAACATTTACTGCTTATGGAAAGTTGGAAGCCAGCAACTCCTAAAATAGAGATCGCTGAGTTAATAATTACAGGGTTTTGTCACAGTCACATTCTTAAAATTGCAATTTTGTTGGAATCAACAGCTGTGCTTGCAGATACAGATCACACTCTTTGAATGTAACGACCTTGACAATAAATGGACACGTGCACACCTTGATGTCAACACATTTGTAATCTGAATGGCTTGTTATCAATTTTGATTTTTTCCTGCTGACCTGCCAGTCGGTGGCAAAAGTAGATGTTAAAATGTGAGGTGATAAACAAGATTGAAACATTGCGTCTTTATTTTTTATGGTTATCAAGCTCGATGTCTTTCCCTTGCCATGCAGGAGTCCCTGTACAGTATTGCTTTGGCATTTGTGAACACGTCTCTGTGAAACTGCAGATATTCATCAGGCTCGTGATCAAGCACAGTATTTTTGCTTGGCCTTGTTGCTGGAGCTTGTGCGCTGTCACAACCTCCTGTCTAGGGGTGTTTTTGGAAATACATTATACTACTCTACTACATGTATTTCTTTTTTTGCTGAAGTTGTGTTTGAAATGCAAATTTTGCAGACATTCTTCCCTTATCCCTGTATTGCAAGACAGACACCCCTCAAACAAGTCAAATGAAGAATTGAAAAGTGGGCACTTCAAATAAACAGCATTGAACATCGTGACATCCATGAAACTGATCGTTTATTTAATGACCACAAAGGGATAATAGGGTAACTTCTAAAGGTCATCTAAGGTCTGTAACTTAAATTCATGATGTTGGCTGCACAGTTACACAGGCATCACGTTACATAAAGATGCTGTAATAGTGGGCACCCTCATTCTAATTGAAATTGGGTTGAAGATGTCAGACTTGGGTTACTCGCTTAGCATCACTTTTAGACTTCATCCACTGCACAAAAGTAACTGAATTTCAAGTGGAATTCAGTAACCGAGTTTGCATGCAAGGCATTTTGCATGGTAGCTTCTTTCTTCCATCTACGTTAGTAGTGACTCCACATATTTGCTTCATATGGGTCATGCTACAAGAGTACATGATGAACCAGGAGATAATTTCAGTGGACTTTTGACCAAGTGGCGACCAGCCAGTGATTAAGTGGTTTGACACAATAACCCCGGACTTCTTATCATGCCGTAAATTTTCAGCTTCACGATTTTGTATCTACGTGTAATTATTTGCTTCCAGCAGAACATAAAATAAAGCTAAATAGAATCTTTAAAAAACAACAAAATTAGAGTCAAACGATTTCGAACTTTGGTCTTTGCTTGAGGCTTTTTGCCTCATTAAAGAAGTTTCATTGATAAAAGCGCATGTATTGACTATTGACACGTTCGCCACATTTCTTGATATCATAGACTTGTTACATCATGGTGCATATTTAAATGATGCATTTGTTTCATGTCATGAAAGTCCTGAATAGTGGCAATGGAACAGATAAGTCGGAGGACAGCAAGAACTAGTGACCATTCATATGACCCAGTGAAGGTGCATATTTGTCATTAAATCCCAAATCCCCCCCCCAAGAGAAAGCGACACATGAAAGTAACAACTCATCCTAAGCTGCAATGTCTGACGGTCTTGGACAAGGAAGACGGTACAGGTGTACATGTAATGCATAGTTGACGACAAATTATCCAAATTTAGTACAGTTACACTCACAAGCTGTTATTCAATGCACTTCCTCTTTCCATAAATAGTGTTCTTGGTTTCATTCCAAATCATCCAGTAGCACTGCACTGAAAATGAAAATGTGGGGTGAACTTCGGAACAGGTACTACTTACTGTAGGTGAGAATAAACTTCCTGATATTGAAGGATTTACTGTTGTTACAATTCCTCATTCCTGTCAACGCGTGTACCTTAATTAACCTGGAGGAGCTTGGATGGAAACATTTGATCTCAGTTATGTTACCAACTGTAATGTATCTGATGTGGGTTAGCCAGGCCGGTGGCACCCCTGTTGATTCCGCATTAAGGAATGGATGTCCAAATCATTCACTCCAAATGCGTCTTGTGTGTGTTAATGGTAGACAAGGGCTGAAATTTGGGGCTGAAATGTGCCAAAGCAGAATCTTTGCTTCTTTATCCTACCCCCCCCTCATGTAACCATGACCACACCTGTCTCAAAATCAGGCAATAACCAGCTTGACCCTTCCCCCACAAACGTCAAATGATTATAATGTTCATCACCAACAGCTCTGAAGAATTTTGAGGTGAGGAAAAATTTTCATGAGTGGAATTGTTCAAACCACAATGGGGTCAAAATGCCTTACTGGTTTCTTGTGAAAAATGTTTTAACAACGTGTTTCTTATTTGTACTTTATCATGCAATTTAACAAGATTGTCTTATATAAATTTGGCACTTGTCCTCCTCAATAAGTACACATGCACCTGTTGAAGTACACATGCACCTGTTGAAGTACACATGCACCTGTTGAAGTACATAGTAGTGATTTTCTTAAGCCTATATTTAAACTTTCATCATAGGCTGCCTTATCCAGAAAAAAAAAATCATACAAGTGCATGTACTTAGTTGGCAACCAAATTTTGTACACACAACTTGGGGTCAGTGACTAACAACTGGATCCTTTGTAATGATGATTGGCGGCTTGGTGACACAGGAGGTCACCCCCATTGGAACTTGTTTGGGGTGCACCCCCACAATCCAATTCATGACATGAATGCGGGATAAGTCAGCCACCCCCATTCTGCCTTCCAGGGGTGTTCCAGGAATGGGGGGAAAAAAAAAAGATTACACACAGGGACATTTCAAATCTGTTACACCCACACACAAGCTTTTTGTATAGTTCATTATTGAGTTCCATGGTTAGGTTTTTCCGGAAATGTTGGAACTACATGTATTTTTTACTAAACAGTACAACCCTTTTTTAAGCATAAATACTGCAGTTGGATTATTAGTAACTGCTGTAATGAAGGGGAGATATTGAAGTCAATGATATTGTACATTGAAAACAATCATTCAAGACACAGAATGTTTGGTATTTTGTCTTTGATGAATTGCATGTAACGGGGTAGGTACAAAATTCATAATGTGAATACTGATGGGAATGGACGTGATTCTGTTACTGATTGAAATTTGACCCCTGCAATTTCTATTTAGTTTCCTGTTGAGTTGGAATATATGTAACTCTATTACATATAGCAGAATAAGAAAGCATGCACACTGCATCTAAATGATGTTTTTATACTGACAAAATGTGCTGCCATAACATGCGCTGGGATCAGGATTTTATGGCCGGCTACACACTGTTTTGTAGGATTCAAGGACATAGAATTTTGATGTTTTCCCTTTGTGCCACTCACTTGGACATGTTCCAGTGCTCAATTATGGCAGAGCTATTGTTGCGCATGTGGGTTGCCATAAAATGCAGAAAGGCATGGCACCATTTGCAAAGAGGTAATGAGCAGTGTATCTGTTTGTACGATATTGAGGTACCAGTACATGTGCGTGTAGACATGGAAGAAGGAACACAGAACCACTGTGTCCAGTGTTTCACACTCTACTTTTCCCACAGTTGGGGAGAAAATTGATGGGTGAGAGAAGTGTTATTACACTGTCTGAAAGGAGAACGTTTTCAATTCCACTTCAAAACTTAAAGGATATTACTGCTTTCATAACCAGTGGAGTAATGTGTTCAGCCTGCGTCTGGTACCTGTAACAAAATTTTGGATAAGTGTGGCTGTTATCAACTGACAATGTGCTACATGTAGATGTGTGGTGGGGTTTGTGGCATGGGGATCAATACCTTGCAGTGAGGGAGGAGTGTGCCAAAATGACTGGATAATGATAATGAGAGCTGGGGTTATTCTGAATTAGGTTTGAAAGGAAGAGCTGTGGCTTGATATCAGTCAGCCGGCCGATCTTGATGTTGTTACCTTGCAATTCATACATGTCTAACTGGTATGTGCAGTGCATTTTCCAGTGATCAATCTACATTGTAATGATTTTATTTTGTTTTATCATTTTGAATGAATAAGTGTTTGTAAAAGGATCAAAACTGTTTGCCTTCTCTGAGATAGTTGGAAAAAATTTGCATTTGAAATGGCTTTGTCATCTTGTATCACGGCAGCATCCTTAGTCATGTTCAATGGACTTGTATAACCCACGTTCCAAAGGCATGATCTAATGCACCACCCATGGGCCCTGATTCCAGTGTACAATGTTTTAAGATTTCATTCATATTGCCCCCCCCCTAAAAAAAATGCTGCGACTTGCTACAGAGTTTGCTAGTCCCACAACAAAGATCATTTATTTATCCTACTCCCAATAAACAAAGAATCAAAGATGACTTGCATATACATGTACATGTACTTCCTTTCCGACATTTGTGAATCAACTTGACCTCAAGGGAGGCTTAACCTTGCCCACATGATGGAATCAAAGTTGTCCGTTCTGTTCAAATTTCCCAAATAGCAGTTCCCATGGTGAAATACAAGTTTGTGTATTTGAAGAATACTGTTGAATTCCCAGTAAATGAGCAACCAAACTCATTTATAACTGCAACCAGGAACTTTCCTTTCCTGTTGCCCTAGAGGTCACAGATTTCGTTACCCTAGCATTCCTGAATGATACAGTTAAGGAGTGAGTATTTCTAATGTATTTTAACAAGTTGCTCATAACAAGTATTTATTACACTGTTGGTACATGCTGAACCTTCAAACCTCTGACTGAGCTTTTTGTATTCAGTAGTTGGTTACATAAGAGCTGCCTAGGCATTCAAGTCAGTGGCTTTTAAAAGTCATCACTCATTCCTTCAATGCCTACCTTGAACTAAACTCGATCTAGTCTCCAATGCCGTGTGGGTCCAATACCCATGTAAACAATTATTCCTAAAAAGGCTTGAAAAGGAAAGAAAATCTGTCTCAGACCCAGAAAGTATTTATTTCAGTACCGGCAGCAAATCAGGATTGAAACTTGATTTTAGGAGAAGTGCGGCCATAGCGTAATGGCAATGGAATTTCTGAAAGCTATGTTTAGGAATACAGCAGCTGCAGTTCATAGACTTGAAGCAAGTCTAGTGCTTAGGCAGTGTGCCATTATTGTGGAAGCAAGCCTTTGTTGATGACAAACAGGCCACAGGGCTGTGTAGTAAACCAAACCCTGTTGGGCAGATAAAGGAAGACTTGTCATCAATATTTTAAGCAGTTCAGT